GTGTTGTTGTGCGTGCGTGTGTTGGTGCGTGTGGTGTTTATTGTGTGGTGCGCGCGCGTGCTGACAATGTCACATTTGTGTTGTGTGTGTGTGCATTGTGTGTGTGCGTTGCTAGTGTGCGTGTGTGTGTCACATTTCGCATGTCATAATGTGTGTTGCTGTGTGTGTGTGCGCCGGCTGGTCAATTAAGGGTCTGTGTGCGTGTTGTGGTGTGTGTGTGCCGCGCCGCGCGTGTGTGTGTGTGTGTGGCATTGTGGTGTGCGCGCGCGCGTGTGTGTGTGTGTGTGTGTGTGTGTGTAGACTGTTGCGTAATGTGTGTTCGCGTATGTAAGCATATCAAAAAGGTAGTTTTACTAAAGAAAGCAATCAGTATTTCACAAAAAAACTTGCATTTACATTACAATTGTTGGGCCATAATTTGGATACTGTGTCGAAAGTAAAAGTATACACCAAAAAGCGAGTGGTGTGGAGAAGACTAGTATGCCATTTTCAACATCACTAGGTTTTTAGGATACTTAATGAACACGCATACCACACACACACGCACGCACCACTCCACACACACACACACACACACACACACACACACAACCACCACACACACACACACACCCCACACACACATATATATAATATAATATATATATATATATAGGAATATATATATTAGTTATATATATAATTTATATTGTTGGTTATTCCTGCAGTTTTTGGAAAGGCTTAGGGAGAAGAAGAGAAGAGAGAGAGGGAGAGAGAGAGGAGGGGAGAGACTGGGAGTGAGGAGAGAGAGATGAGGGGGGAGAGAGAAGAGAGAGGAGAAGAGCGAGGGAGGGAGAGAGAGAGAGGGAGACGGAGGAGAGGGTGAGAGATGAGAGGGATAGAGGGAGGGGAGAGAGGGAGGAACGAGGAAAGGAGAAGGAAGGGAAGGGGGCTGAGAGGGAGAAGAGGGAGAGAGAGGAGAGGGAGAGGAGAACACGAGACAGGGAGGAGACGAGAGAAGGAGGGAGTGAGGGAGGAAGAGTAGAGAGAGGAGGGGAGAGAGAGGTAAGAGAAGAGAGGGAGGGAGAGAGAGAGAAGAGGGAGGAGGGAGAGGAGAGGGCGAGAGAGAGGAGGAAGTGAGGACGGGAGCGCAACAGAGAGGAGGAGAGAAGAGAGAGAGGAGGAAGAGGAAGAGGAGGGAGAGGGAGAGAGAAAGAAGAGAAAGAAGGGAGGAGGAGACGGAGCAGAAGAAAGAGACGTGTGTGGAGTGTGTGGGAGGAGAGAATGGGAGGATGGAGAGGACGAGAGGAGGAGGGAAGAAGAGAGAGGGCGAGGGAGAGGAAGAGGGAGGAGAGAGAAGTAGAAGAGAGATAGTCGGCCGTGGTCTCCCTCGTTCTGGAGGGAGGGGATGTGGTCAGTTGCGACCGTTCTAGATTTGCGGTGTAGACGTTTGCGCCCGATGAAGGGGAGAGGAGTGCATCAAAGTCCCTATGATGCCAGGTACTGCGCCTGATTCTGGGAATGGAATGTACGGGTGCTCGGTGTGGTGCAGAAGTGGCTGCGCCTTTCTGAGTAACGTAGAGAGAGAGGAGGAGAGGAGAGACGTGGTCCCTGTGCGCGAGTGTACGTGCACCGACCCTCTGGTAGGATAGTGCGTAGGAGACGGAGGAGAGCGGAGTATGAGTGTACAATTAGTTCTTGATGAGAGGTATTTAAGTTTGTACTGTCTCTTCTATGTAGTATGAGGAAGAGGATTGATGGACGTTTACTGCGAGACCGAAGGAGTGAGCAGAGGTGTGGGAGAGCCGATGCGGACCAGTACTTTAGTCCATTGCCTTTGACGGAATTGACACGTGACCCATGGCACTTCAAGAAGGGCGGGGAGGAGAAGGAGCAGAGGTAATGAGGCCCCTCCAACGGAGAAGAGAGTCCGAGAGAGGCAGATGAGATGGACGCACGAGCAAAGAGAGAGAGACACGAGAGACACAGATGAGAAGGAGAGACGAGAGAGAGGATCCCTCAGAAGTAGAGCCGAGAGTTCTGCCAGACGCGAAAGAGTGAGTGAGCGCCCAGTCTATGAGAAAGCGAGAAGAGAAACCTAGACGGACAAGATACATAAGGGAACACCACATAGAATATACAGGGACGGGTACAACAAACAATTGCAAACACACGAACACAAACAAACTTGCAACCTCTTTAATGTTAAAACAACAAATGCAGACAAAAATCCGTCGTGGGCGGCGCAAACGCACCACGCCACGCCCCCCTCTCCGCACCACGCCACGCCCCCTCCGCTGGGACGCCGTGAGTGGGACCGAAGGAGGCGGTGTCCGAAGCCAAGCCGAGGGCGGATGGTCGTTTCCCCGAATAGAAGGACCTGGTACTGTCATGGTCACTGATAAGAGTGAGAGACATAATTGAATGAATTAGTGTAAAAGCATGAGTAGTAATAATACTTAAAATGAAAATGATGATGATGATGATGATGATGATGGTGAAGATGGTGATGATGGTGATG